TATATATATATATATATAAAAAACGTATTACCCTAACCCTCTGCAGCAGAACCCGCCCGTGAGGAACGTGCGCGAAGGCAGCAGCTTCCAGAGCAGGGCAGCGCCGCGGCGAGGGCTTCATCTCGGCACCAAATTACACTGCAAAAGGAACCGAGGTTGCAGCACAGCAGCTCGGGAGAGAAATGAAAATCCATAATGGCTTTCTCCTCCCATGCAATCAGGATTGGAAATAGGCTTTTAGGCAGTCAGGCCAGACCACACACGGATCCCGAGGTGATATTTTTCATTTTGCTACTTGTAATTGCTGCTGTAGCTTCTGCAGCTCCTCCTCCTCGTTAACAACCCGGGGGAACCTCACACCAAAACCACAGAGACAAGAGCAGGAAGAAGGGAGAGAAAACGGTCATGTCATCCCTGGGTTTCAGGGACCAGAGCCCTCCACAGCTTTGCAGTTAACTTCAACCGCAGCTGACCTTTCCCAGCTCCATCCCGCACTTTGGAGCCAGGTCTCCAGACTCCTCCCAGACAGCCCATCCCTGCGTCCACTTCTGCTCTACTTGTTGTTGGAGTAACTAGATTTGGAACCACTTAAAATAGCCCTTCGCATGACTAAAATAAGCGCTCCAAGACAGGGCTGTGAAACAAGGAGCAAGCTTCCTACCACCCCCCTCCTCTCCTCAGTCATTTGCTGCTTGGCTCAATGCCATTTTCCCCTAACATAAGTCTTTCAGGCGCGAGTTTATTAACTCTCCGAGCAAGACTGGATTTAAGAAACCAAAGCTTCCATATTCCCTCTTCCTTATGTCCTTCTTGGGGTTCTGGCACATTGTAAGGACATTCTGGTGTTTCTCTCCCATGAACTCCCACCCATCGGAAACTCCCCACACTGGAGTTTAACTATGAAACTCTTGGTTATTACAGCAGTTGATTCCTCCCTCTCTACTGCCAGCCTGGAGAGGGGATGCTCAGACCCATGGATGCTCCACTATCTGAGCACGATAGGCAGAAAAATAAATACAAGAAAAAAACCTTCCCAGAAGGTTGCACCACTAGGGCCATCACTGACCGTTAATTACAACACACAAATCAAACGGTCTGGTGAAAACAACTTACTCAACATTCATGGTTAGCCCACTCGGCTTTGCACCTCTAAACCGTTAAACCATCATTAATGAAAATAAGCCACTGCTGTGCATTTATAAACCTGAAGCACAATACAAGAGTCTAGAACACCCCAAAGCTCAATGTATCGTATAATGAAAAACTGAGGTTACCCTGGGATTTACACATGCAAGAATTTCTGCTAATTTCAAGGCTACTGTTTCCTCGTGCAATTCTGCAGTCTTTCTCAGAGCTTACAGTAGTATCTTTGGTTTGAAAACAGCAGGTTTCCATCGTCTTGGCAATATTCGGGGTCAGCCTGTGGCAGAGCTGAAGGGAAGCAGCAGGGTGGCAGCCACCACGGCACTTTGCTGCTAACCCTATGGAGGGCTGTAGGACAGAGGCTTGTTATAAAAGCACAATTAAAAGCACAATTAAACTTCCAATTGTTTTCATTGCAAACAGAACCACTGGAAATGTGAACTAATAAAAATAACTTTGCTGTTGAGAATGAAGGTTCCTGCGAGGCTGGTAACAATCCCTGCAATACGCGTGCAGGATAGATTTTCTAGTCCAACAACAATAATTAAGAGTTTGATCAAAGAAGAGTTTTTTTTTTACTCAACCGATATTAACATCTTGTGCTAGGAGGATATGTTATGAATATTGCCAGACCTGCTCCCCAGGGTCCAAACCCATTAACTCAGTGAACCTGGCATTAAACAGCAAGAGCCACTATTTTACCACTGAATTTCAGAACCCTCCACTCGCTCACGTTATTCCTGGAAAAGTTCCCCACCACAGCACAGCCCATGCTGCTCACAGCACATATACCACCTATTTTTCAGGGCTTCGTTGGGAATTTCTCAATTTCACTGAAATGCCAGCTTATTGTAAGCTTTTAATAAGCAATTAAGCTATGGAAATATATCCTCTAATAAAAAAAGTAACATTTTTTCCTAGTCTTTAAGCATAGTGCAAAAAACAACGCTACGCAAACCTTACAGTAATAATATATTGAACAAATATTGAAGCTGTTTCCTATTTTATACTCTTTAAGGTCTTTGTTTTGAATTTCTTCAAGAAGAACAAAAATAGCTGAGGTATCTGATCGTGCAAGAGAAACAAGTATTTTTATGGTTTAATTATGGAACAATTTTGCATACAGACAGGATGGACTAGTCTCATTTTGTTCACCAAAAGAACACAACGAGAACTGCATTGTGTACTGTGGTTACATTCACTTTAAACCAAACTCCTACGCTTTTCCATTTACTTACATGAAAACCAACCAGGTGATTGCTCTGCCAAATTACAACCCGTTCCTACATGAGGAGAGCATGGGGTTTTGCCTGGAAAACTCCAGGCACATATTGATGGTCATACTTAAAATAACCTGTGCTTTAAATCCCTGATCATTTACGTTGGTCATAGCATTAATGTCCTTAAGAGAGAAGATGGCATTTTATATTGAGAGCTTTCCAATGAGCAGTCCAATTGCTGCAGTTTGTGTGGCCAGTAACAGAATCAGAACAGGAGCCCCCTGTAAAACTCCTTTGATTATAACAGGAATCAGAACTAACCATAAGAAAACCTCAAAAAGCCTTGGAACAGGTGTATGGTTCAGATAAGCATATAAGGAAATTCATACGCTTATCAAACCTTCAGCTTTGCAAAAAGATGAAAGAAGAGAGAAAAGCAGAACATGCAGAAAGTGTCACTTGAGTGCGCTTCTGGAAATGGGCGAACGCTGGGGAATTTGGACAAACACAAACACACGTTTGTGCTGCTAACAAAGAGGCCGGGCTTCTATTCAATATCAAGACCACCTGAAAATTTCTGAACTGAAAGCATTTACGTTTAATACCAGGTTTTTACTTTATCCTAGCTCTCTTTCTTTGAAGTCACTAACGTCTCCAGGAAACAGTAGCTTTTTTAAAAGCAAATTATAACTAAAACATCCTAATGACAAAGTGAGAGAGGGGAAGATATTTATCACATTGAAGCAGTAAACTGTAACAGCTGCTGCTAAATGTAAGAGCTTGGAAAGGGATATTAAATATGCTTAAATATTTAATGCATAGCCATTAGGCTTTAGACATGACTTGTATTGAGAAAGAGCTCA